TTGACATATCGATGCATGCACACGCGTACTATATGCCAGATATTATCCCACTGAATACTGAAACTTGGCGCCCTTTCTCTTTTTGTAAGATATATGTACACTACTATATATGTGAGTACATCAACGATTGTTCCCCCCTGATTCTCTACTGGCACGCAACATCGATCAATGATAAGACAGTTTGAGTTATGAATTGAATTTATTATTCGGTTTTCAGCGGGAGGGCAGACTCCAAGATCGCAGTGAGGCGGGTCTGCCATTTTGTGGGGCGTATAGATTGATTGCCTAAATAATAATTGAATGAGAAATTATTGGCGGTCTTTCGACGAAGAGAACGGCAAGATCCATTTCAGATAATAGACACAATTTGAAGAATTTCAATTATTTGAGTGGAGTCTTAAGCGTGTATTATTGTTCCCATGAGATATGTCTGTAAGATACTATATAAAAGAGATCCAGTATTGTTTTTTAATTAATTTTCTACTGTACGCACTGGAGAATTTTTATATGTCATTATCAAAACGGGTGGAATAATATAAAGTTAAAGATGGTCGCATAAAGTTTTGAAACTTCTTTATGAAGTAAATGAGATTTCAGGCATACTAATTCACAATTTTCTTTAAAACAATTCAATATTGCTTGTAATATACAATGATAATTATCAATAAATAAAGTTTAATCTGATAACAAGATGACTGCTTAATACTTAATGTTTTGATAATTAACCTTGAATGCTTCAAAGCAACCAGATAAACCAAAAACCCCCCATAATTTCCACTGGGCAAATACATTTACCCCCATTTATTTCGTTTCCCCGCAATTCAGCTACAAAATCCAATCAAGCAATAAACAAATGGAAACCCATTAACCAAAAAAAGAGCAAACTAGCAGGAATAACAAATTGCAAGCTGTAGTTGGAGTAATTTTTTATGGGCGTGCGCATTTTTTCACTCCCTCGTGTGTGTGTTACTGGGTACATATGACTTGCATTTGTGTGTGCTCCAGATCCAAGTCAGCGATTCCAAGCCAAACACACAAAAAATACCAAAAATCAAATAAAAACCGACACATGTGGCCAAATGCAAATGCGCATTTTGTCGCATTCCAAGCCCAGCTGGTCGGCTTGATTCAAACTGGCGGCTTTGCCGGTTTTCAGCCGCAGACAAACCAGCGACAGTCACAGCCCTGCCTAGTGCCATCCACATTCGAAATTGGATTCCAAAAACAAGTGAATGATTTGCGATTAAGACAAGCAGATTACTCTAGTTTTATTAATGGTAAGATATTTCTATATTGAATTTTGTATATTGTGTAAATCTAGTGCAATACAATATCATTTCTATTTTGGTATGGTGAATCCTAAAGAGTTTATAATATTTAATTTTTTTCAATATAATTGCAAATTTGATTCCAAATAATAATTATTTGCCATTAAGACTTGTAGGTTACTAAAGGTTTATTAAAGGGAAAAATCTAACTATTTATTGTGATGTAATATAATGTATTTTGGGAAGGTGAATCATAATGGAAATTGGATTCCAAAAACAAGTGAATCATTATGCCATTAAGACATGCAGATTACACTAGTTATATTAATGGAAAATATCTTACTATTTGTTGGAATGTTTTACCGTGTTTATTTTGGTATAGTCAATCTTAACGAGTTTATAATATTTTAACTTCTTTAAATTAATTTTCATAAAAAATTCGTAGAAACTGCTTTTTAAATAACTTAAAGACCTTCAACAATAAAATCTTTTTAAAACTTCATAATACCTTTGAAACGAAAACATTATGCTTATAGATCTTTATCATAGGATCCATTTTATTTTTTTTTAAATGACTATTTAGCTTGAAAGAATAGTCTCTCCTAGTCTGTTCACCAAAATCTTTTCACTTTAAGTTCTGAGTTCTTCAATGGGAACTTTTCTGGACTATGTAGGTTCAGATCAAGAATTAATCATATTGCAACATTATTTAATCGGAAATACAATATACCCTTACATATTCCGATGTTGGGGTCTATAAAAACCCACTCACATTAGACTTCTCGCACAAATTGGTGCGGTTCGTATCTAAATCGAGTCTCAATTACACACGAGCACAGGCCCCTTGCCGCCTATTTTCCACCCCCTTCCCTGGCGGTTGGATTCTCATTAGCTGAACGCGGGTTACGCAGACCACTCGGCTGTGGAGCGTTGGCAACCGCCGTCTATAAGCCCAACCACACCCTACTCTTTGGTCCCCACCCTCGCACACCACCGACTTTTTTCACTAGCCCCTTCAGAACTCAACCGGCTTTGCATTCTGATCATTAAATGCTTAACCAAATGAGTTAAAGCGATATATCTGTGGTTCTGAATGGGGTGTGTGCCATCACTTTGTTGTCGCTGTACACTGAGGAAAAACGGGACCATGTGGATTGATTTTGGATCCCATAGTTCTTGAGTTATGTAATATTTTATGCAATTTTTTTAACTTAACTAGTAGACAAATGGTTTTGAAACTATGTTTGATAGAATCAAAGTTATCTAATACTTGAATTTCCTTTTTCTTTTTAATTCAAACTTTTAAAGAATTTAGTTTTAAGTTCTTTAGAGCAGAATTTTTCTCAGTGATGGCATGCATATTTCTATCTGAGAGTACGTTCAACATGTGGTCGTCTGTTTGTCTCTGTTTTTTAAGTCGTTCTTGCAGCTGAAGAAAGCATGGAAATTATCTCAGCGATGTGAAATGGGGGCACGAGTTCTGAGCTCTCGAAATGATTGCTCTCCACTCAATGGGGTTAATTTTCAAGAAGGGGGTGCTGTAGGATCATCTGTGGAGTTTTTGTAATTATCTCTGAACATGTGTGGGAATAAATGAATACAGAAACTTTTCGAAATAACTTGTCGACTTCACTTTAAAGATGAAAAATTGGAACTGCAATCGTGGCGTGAAAAACTTTTGTACCATATTATTATCTAAACTGTCTAGTTCATAATCTACATATGGGTTGTCACAAGAACCTTGACAGTTTTCAAGAACTTATGTACACTCATAAAAATTTAATTAATTTATTAATAAATTAAACAAAAAAAAAATGTCAACCTTACCAATTAAAATTCCGGGTTCCATATTCGTGGTTATAATCCTTAGTTCGCTTAATCCCAGTAGCGAGTTGGTTTGATTTCGATAAAAGTTAAAACATAAAACCTATGTATGCTTTTCAAGGTCGTAACGAATTTTAAAATACCGTTGAATCACATGGAGCACATTTCGGATTACTTTTTCGATTTGATTGATTTGATTCGGGGAATGGTAACTGATATAGCCACATTCCGTTTTTTTACCAGACTTAGTGTTGATTTTCCCACCAACAAACAAAAAAAAACAAAAATCTTTTGCGCATGCGCGAAGGCGAAAATAAACAAAAGAAAAGAGTAGATGAAATGAGAAGGGGAAGAGAGCGGGAAACAAACGAAACTACCGTTAGGCTTTTCCTCCGCTTTTAATGAGTTTTCTTGTTTGTTTGCCTGCCATTGGTAATTTTAACAAGCCGCGTTGTTTACCAATTTGATTGTTTTATTTATTTTTTGCCCTTTCTTTATCAATTTCTTATGAGATACCACAAATCACACAGGTGCTTCCTCTCTCTCTCTCTCTCTCTCTCTCTCGATCGCTCTCTTTAAAAAACAAACACCGGTTAACGGGGAACGTTGGATATGGCCGGAACAGGCGGCATAAAAAGCGAAAACCAGAAATGGAACGTGTGGCAAGTGGAACAGACAACAGTTTTGTTGTTGCTATCGTGGGTAATTTGTGAGTCAAAGAATCAAGAATGTGAGTGTATGTGTGTGTTTGTTGGAAGAAAAAAAATGACTCAAAACCACCGAAAAACTCATTAAAAACTCAGGTAAAACCCTAAATTTGGAACACTGAATGCATATTCCTGCACTTGCTATTGAAATTTCTTCGAATTCATTATTATTTCTGCACTTTTGTTTGAACAACTTGTGGCACACTCACACACACGCACAAGTTCTACACCTTGAACTTGCGTCAGCTTTTTTTTGCTTTTCTTTATTATCTGCCCGTTTTTGGCCACACTCTTTGCACTTTTTTAATTAACTGCCTTACTTTTTGGGTTATTAATCTTTTGGCACACACTTTTTTCAGCCAAATAATGATTTCTTTTGTTACTTATTTTTTTCTCGGCTTAAAACGACGGCGCGAATAAAAAACTAGAAACTACATGTCGTTTTTCCGGCGCGTTTTAAGTCTTTCCACTCCGCAGTCCAAAAGAGATCTGCGATCGGGAAAAAATATAGAGAACGGCGATCTTATTGGAACGGGTTGGAGAGAGAGTCAAAGCGCGCCTCTAAACGTTCCGATTCAGCTGTTTCAATGCTCAGGCTCAGAGAGAGGAAGAGAGAGATAGAGAGAAGCCCTATTGGAATTCAATTGAAATCGAATCGGAATTAATTGAAGGGCTGTGGACAGTGGGTCAAAATAGAGGGTTTTTTGCCTTGAACCTTAAGTAAAACTAAATTATTAACTGCAACAAGGTTTTTTAAATATTAACTTTTAATTTTAAAACTATATTTGTGTACAGTTACAGAATTTTATACAACCTTAAAAGTGGGTCTTAAGAATCTTATGCTGAAATTACCATATAAAAATGGTAATAAATGTTTTATAATAATCTTAAAAAAGGCAATATCCTCCATGGCTTAGGTTAAATAAAAACATTTAAGTCATTAGAATCTTTTAAAATTTAAAATCTATCGATTTTGTCTTAGAAAAGGTTGACAAAATAGATTACAAATCTTAAAAGTTTTTACAGCTTTAAAAAAATATTTAAGAAACATGTAATCTATAAGTTGACAATTTCCCTTACCAAACCTTAAACCAAAATACAAACAAAACTTAAATATACTAGAAACTTCCTTGAACGGTTCGACAAACAAAGCAGGCACTGTAATAGCCTTCTCTGTCAATACCCTGCCATTCAGCAAACCCTTTCGGTAAGAGCTCTTCTCCAAATCAAGACCAAAAAACTAAATTTTCCGGCAAAAAAAAAATCACCAAGAGTTCAAGTCCTGAGACGGATAAAATGTCCTTGAACCGCGGGCTTAAGATGTTCCTGCGGGCGATTCCGCCCCAAATTTTGCGTCGCGGCAAGGCGGACTACGGGAAAACGATATGCAATCTGAAGGTCAACAAGAATACGAAGGTTTTAGTGCAAGGATTCACCGGCAAACAGGCAACTTTTCACTCGGAGGAGTCGATAAAGTATGGCACCAATATTGTGGGTGGTGTCAATCCGAAAAAGGGCGGTACGGAGCATCTGAAGAAACCGGTTTTCAAGTCCGTGGCCGAGGCGGTTGAGAAGGTGAAACCAGATGCCACGGTGATCTTTATACCGCCTCCATCCGCCGCTGAAGGAATTTGCGCGGCCATCGAGAGTGAGATTGGTCTCATTGTGGCCATCACCGAGGGTATTCCCCAGGTGGATATGGTGAGGATATCCCAGATGCTGAATTGTCAGGAGAAATCCCGCCTGCTGGGTCCCAACTGCCCGGGAATTATCTCCCCGGAACAGTGCAAGATCGGGATAATGCCGGGTCACATCCATAAGCGCGGAGTGGTGGGCATAGTTTCACGCTCGGGAACTCTAACCTACGAATCGGTGCATCAGACCACCAACGTGGGATTGGGTCAGGCCCTTTGCATTGGCCTGGGCGGAGATCCCTTCAACGGAACCAGCTTTATAGACGCCCTCAAGGTTTTTCTGCCCGACAAGGAGATCAAGGGCATTATCATGATTGGCGAGATCGGGGGATCCGCCGAGGAAGATGCCGCCGAGTATCTCAAGGAGCACAATACGGGATGTGAAGCCAAGCCGGTGGTTGGATTCATCGCAGGTCAGACTGCTCCGCCGGGTCGTCGAATGGGTCACGCTGGCGCCATCATATCGGGTGGGAAGGGGGCGGCCAAGGACAAGGTCGCCGCCCTGGAGAAAGCCGGCGTCCGCGTGACTGCCAATCCCTGTCATCTGGGAACCACTCTCCTCGAGGAAATGATCCGCCTGAAACTGGTGCCCAAGCCAGATGAGAAGAAGGCCCAGGCAGGCAAAAAATAGGAACACTTTGTGCTCTATAAACCGAACTTCAGGGTTTTTTAAATATATAATTGAAACCTATTTTGCAGCGTTCCAAACTTTATTTTAAGTTGTGATAACCACTTTTATATGCCTTAGGGAGTTGATAAAAAATTCTTTATAATTGATATACCAAGGGCTTGCCGGATGGAATTAGGAAATCTTATAACACCAATGGTGTTTCCAAGTATTAACATTTCCACCCATGCTTTTCATTTTATAACCATTTTTTTCTGTATGCAAAAGTTTTGCCCGCAGTGGCTTTTTATCTTGAGTCTCATATCAAAAATGTTTCGCTTTTTAAAGCCCATAACAAACACAAGATAAGCGAGAAATAATTTGGCCATGGCCAGAAAAGAAGCCAGAAAGACTCACCCATAGTCTTCACGCGGAATTCTTCATAGTCCATCAGCGGAGGAGTCTCGGCTCCTCGGACTGTGTCCAGAAAGTCCTCTTCGCTATAAACTGAGTCGTAATCGCTGGGATCATGCATTGTTTTGGTTTATATTTGGCTAATTAAATCACAGAAATGCACTCAACACTATTGCATACTCTTGGGCAGCTAAAAATAAACACAGGCTCTTTAATTTTCTTGGAAATCTAGTTTTAAGAAAGGCCACAGTAGGTGTAAATGCAATCAAAAGAAGTTTAACCCCGGAAACACTTAAGGGGACTTTATGGCACCCGGAGCCACCGATAATAGGGGATCGAGAACCGAGGGCACCGACAACCGTATGCGCTTCCAATTTAAACACGACTAAGGCGGGCCGAGGGTTTTCACCGCCGTTCTACGTTCTCAGCTAATCAAGAGCAAATACTACGAAGGCTATCAAAAACAACAAAACAAATCTACTGGCTGATTAGAATATCAAGTACTATAACAAGTAGGAAATCTTCGCCGGAGTTTGTAGAACTCAGGATACCCCTTAGTACTAACCTTTCGATTTCTAAATGCGTGTAATAACTAAAACAATGGCTACAGAGCTCCGATGTCGTTATTGATCTATAAAATGGTCTTCCGTAAGAATCTAACCGACTAAGAAATATTAAAATAATGTTATATGTTAATAATAATATGTTAATGTCAAAAAAGTACCCAGGTGATACCAAAACATGTTGGGAATTATAATGTTCTAGAGGCTTTGAGGAACTTTGTTTGTGATTATACCATGGAATACTCTAAGAAAGTGATAACGAGCCGATGATTCCTTTTGCCTGTTATACCCATTGGTTTTGTAAGAATACCAGGTATAAAAACATACCATTTTATTTGCACTGAGAGCGCGTGCTATCTCCGCTCTCACTCTCCCTCAGCGAAAGTAATTATAGGGAAGTTCTTAGTGCCTGCGAGTGCAAGTGAGACAAAGCTAATATCTTATCGGCCGTGTATAACTTGGACTGAGATAGCTTACGACTGTCAACTGCCTGGAATTCCTTCGATTAATTAATGAATTAGAGTGATAGCCGTACATTAAAAATGTTAAAGTAGAGTTGAATAATAAATATCAAAGAAAGAGATTCGAATACTGCCCATTCCTCAAAATAGTTTGATAAGGTCGTTAATAAATTGGGCGATACGAATCATGAAAAAATTAATTGGTAATAAATTTAACGTTTGATTAATAATTTAATAAAGAGAAAATGTATATAAATCCATAATTATCAGTATATATCCCCCTTTTCACTTATTAAAACACGCATTCTTCGTTTTTAAAACAGCACACCAAAGAAATAGCATCATTGGAATGTTAAAAATTTTATTTAAATTTTTTTTCGTCTCTTTCTGTATGTTAATTCTGCAATTCTAATTATAATGCATTTACACATATATTCGTTTTGCTCGTAGTGTGTTTTTCATCATAAAACTCGAATTCTCTCATCTGTATTTAATTCAAACTTTAAATGTTTATTTTTGTATTGCAAATAGTTTTATTTAGCATTTTTTTGTTTGATTTTTGAAGAGCAATTTTTCTCTTGTTGCTGGAGTATTTTGTTTGCTACGATTTTCAGTAACTGATATGTTTCGTTTGCTCGTTTCATTTTAATATATTTCAACTATTTCTTGTGTATTTTGTTTATTGGTGGTTTTGTTAGTTTGTAAAATCTCAAGCAACTTAAAATACAGTTAAAATTCAATGGAAATGTTGGTAAACTAAAATCAAAAAATTATTTTGAATTTTATTTGTACGAAGCTTGTTTGTTTTATTTTGAATAAACATTGTTTTATATTGTTAAATTGTTTCAGCGTTTTAAGAGTTCAATGGGTCAGTTTTGGTATTAAAACCCTGAAACAAGTAACAATTGAATAAATGAAAAACCAATGAAAACCCAATGTTAAAATAAGAATAATAAAATATAATTTACAATTACCTTTGGTGTGTTTACCCATGTATATCTTTCATAAATTTCTCTTAACGATATTTAATTTCAACTTTCGTTCTCATATTTGATATGTTTTGTTTAATTGATATGTTGCATATATTTTGTGTTTCATAGATTCTCGTGTGTTTGTAACTTTTGCAGTTTGGTTTCTTCTTTAGCAAGAGATCTGCTGATATGTATGCGATATAAGTTTTGTGGCTTATAATTAGAAAATGTCTATGTTTTGTATAGCATTTGTATATTAAAATTTTAAAAAATATTCACAGAGAAAAAAAGTTTTTTTTTAGATTTTCAGGTGTTTTTTTAAGATATTTAAATTATTTAAAATGTACAGGTGAATATGTTTTGATGGAACTCAAAAAACAAATTATCACTTTGTTGTTTTTTTTTGTTTTTCGTGGTTGGTTTATCCATTTCATTTGCATCGATTATGGAATAAGTAGTTTGTCTCCTTTATTTACATGGGGCATTTCCTCACTTCCTTCATTTTTATCATATACCTATATATATATATAGTTCAATGGATCAGTTTCTGTTCATTTTCATTTTCATTCATTTAACATTACTCTTGACTTGTTTAAGTTACATTCGAATAAATATTTATTCATAAATATATTTTTCAAATAGACGACTATATAATTAAAATGATTTTTTGTTTCTTTCCATTTAAGTAAATAATTATAGTTTACTTTTGCTGTAGTTGTTGTATGATCTATCAGCTAATTCAAGGTACTTATAACTCCATTAATTTTTCGGTTTCATCTAAAGAAATTTCCTTTAACGTTGGGTTCTCAATTTCTCCTCTGATTTCTATTCGTTTTAGTTACTTGTCACGCTATCTGGTCAACAATTCCGTGCTCCGTTTGAAGAATGTTTGAATTAGAGAATCTTAGACTAGTAAGTAAGATTTTGTGTGTTGTTTTTGTATTTTGAGGGCCAGTTTCTGGTTCTGCTTAGATTATATTCCAATTGTTTGGGTCAGTTTTTGTTCTTTGGCAAAGTGAAACTGGCCCTCAAAAGGTGAGAATCTCATTTTGGTTACAATTTGCTTTTGTGTGTTTTTTTTGTCTAAGAAATATATATATGTTGAGAATTGAGTAAAGTTGTGTGTATTATTTCCAAATTAAGGTTAGGCTTTATAATTACTTGCTTTGAATATATAACTTGAGATTTCTCATTGATATTTTTTAGACACACAAAACGTTCCGTGAATTATGCAACTCAAACCAATTATGTTACTTCTGCACAGTAGCTCGACATAGACATTTTAGTTCCTATGATAACGTGTGTTAAGTTTATTAATTGATTTCATTATTTTATTTGAAACATTGAAGATTTTCTTCTACTGGAAACAACAATAGCTGCAGGGCTTTCGCTACATTTACTGACTAGAACTAAACAAATATTCCGTATTTCATAGTATATAATTAATAGACGGTTATCGAAAGAAGATAAGTGTACTGGGTTAGTACGTAAGAAAGTGGTTGGAAGGTTCTTTACTGATAGCCTCGGTTGCTGTTTTGCATTCATTGTTTGTAGGGACTTTAGTGTGAATACCATAAGTGACGGGTCTAAGAAGCCTTGAAACACTTTACAATAAAAATGTTCAATATCTGTATACATATATATGGTTCAGAAAAAGTTCGTTATATAAACATTAATATTTTTGTCTTTTTTAACTTTTTGTTTTTTTTCTTTTCTCATTTAATATTTTGCCAAACGATCCTGCTTCCACATTTTATTTTTCTAGTTCTTATGAAGTTTTTCTGCAATGTTCTGAAATTTGCGCATAGATTTTCTCAAAATAAATATAGATCGCGATAGAAACGCAACATATCAAGAAAGTCTAGGAAAGAGCGCAGAAAGTTGGGAGAAAGCTTAAGATTTGATTTTCGGTAGATTGCAGCCGATTTGTGATCGAAATTTTGTTTGTTCTTGCGTATAAATGTATTTTCTCTTCGCGCCTTTATTTTTTTGTAGCTTTTTCGTGGTCTTTTGCAATTTTTTTTCGTTTTTGGTATGCTTGATTTTTGTTTTTATATAAAAGTGTTTGGAAAATGAAAATAAGTAAATTAAAAATGGCTTAAAAAGGTTTTTGGAAAGCAAAATTATACTCAAAAACAGAGTTTGAGAAAATATCTTTTGGCTGGAATGAAGTGGGTTCTTGGGGGTTTTTGTTAGCGGAAGATGAGTGTAGGTACGTGTGTATCTGTGTAGTTCGCACTTAATAATTGTAATTATCGTAGGGCGTTCCCAAATACGAATAGAAATTAGGATTGATGGGCTGTGCGTGTGCGTAATAAAATCCAGAAGCCGGATCTGGCGCTACTCAGTCGAGGAAGCCGGTGTTGACCAGCTTCTCCAAGAAGAACTTCACATCGCCCAGCTCCGAATCCTTTATTCCGAGTGACTTCAGCATGCCCAGATCCCCGTTCTCCACGGCCATGAAAACAGAGCGCAAGTGTTCCAAGTCAGATCTACAAGATAGGATGCAAAACCAAATAGAATTAGTTGGGTCAATTTCCAGCTTGCTTGTGATTAATGACAAAACTTAAATAAAGTTTTCCTGGCAAACGACTTAAGCCACGGAAATGGAGGGTTTGTATATGGAAGGGAGCAGTCTCTAAATGGTAGTTAGTACGCAACAGTTCTTGGGGTTCAAATGATAACTACGCCACCGTGGTATGATACATATGTGTATCGTTCTCATTGAATTTAAATTTAAATTTGTAGGTGTTTCTTATATTTTCTATACATAAATATTTTTATATTTTAAATGTATTGATATAAAAACAATATCGCTTGAGTTTATGGCAAATATTGTAGAGCGCAACTAAAATCTCTGAGTTGTCACATATAATAAAGGTTTCTAAAGGTATGCTGCGACAATGTTGTATCTTAAAAAAATGTCAAAAGGTTACATTTTTCACTGCATACTTTTGCACACCCTTTTAAGAGGACTATAATATTTTTATGGTTCTGGAAAATACATAGAAAAATTTACTACATCCCTTCGCATTGACAACTGCTCAAATACCATTTAACTTGTTATTTACTTTTATAACTTTTATCCCACAGTGAACTTAAATAATGAGCAAAAGCTCCTCAAACGCACACAACCCACACGACCAAATACAGGGACAAGTTTTAGCTTTGCTGCGGTGGCGTCTCAAATTATACGCTTTGCTTAATTAATCCCTGCAGGTAACGTTCTGCTGTTGCTGCCCCTTCTATCGTTGGTTTTGTTATTGTTTCGTGGTTGGTATCCTTTGACCCCAACCCAACTTTGCTCTTTTCTGTACCCACATATTTTGCTGCTTGTTGCGGCTGCTAGATAAACTTCATTATCATCAGCGTAATTAGTAATGTGAGTAAAAAAAACCTAAGGTCGATACATAGAAACTTAAAGATAGCTGAACAAATGGTTCCTTTCAAGATAATTATAATAAATAAATAAAATGTTTTTGCAAAAACATAAGCTATCTATAATGAAAAAGAAATCTCTTAATATTTAAAACATCTTATTAGGTTGCTCAAAAGTATGCAACAAAATAAATAAGGTCAGGGATTTCGATGAATTCTATCGACAATCACTGCATACTTTTAGACACATTCATAGGGAAATGTATAACACTTCCAAAATATATCTCTAGAGATTTGAAATCATTTCAATATGTGTTGAGGACTGTACTGTCTCCATGAAACATCAAAATATACGTAGTAAGGTATGAATGTCTATAAAAAGTAAAGGAAGTCCCTAAAAATACCTTTAATATTTAAATAATTTAAATATATTTAAATTGTTTTTCCTATATTTTTCTCTTTGTGCAGGCGGGATGGGAAGCTAGAGTGCAAAATACACATTAATAACATTTGTGCGTGTCTTGTGGTTGGAGTACATCCATTCAAATCCATCCCGCCCCTCTTTCCCTAATTCTCGGATAGAGACTTGAGCTGGGTGGAGTGACATTATGACACTTGGGCGATTAATTGCCTTGATGAAATTGTGTAAATTTCCAGCGTAGCCAGACAAACGAAGCCCTCTTATATTTCATCCGGCCAGACCCCCTTTCCTCTCCGGCTTTTTTGTGTCTTGCTAATTTATCAACATGTGCGTGAAGGCAAATATTTTCGTGTCCTTTTGTCTGGCCCTCAGGTCCTGAGTTCCTGTTGCCTGCATAGCCCACAGTTTTATGATTATTATTATTGCCACTCCAACTCACCTTGTGGGCCCCATTTTTGTGGTTAGTTTTTGTTGTACTAATTTAATGAAAATTTTTCTTTCATGTTTTGTGCCTTTCTCACTCTCTCTATGGATGTTTATATTTGGGCAGGCTTGTTGTTATTTTTGTTAATTAAATTTTTGCTTTGTTTATCTTGGAAATTGTAGCATGAGACTGGTAGGCGAGTGCCTGAAGTATAATGTAATTAAGGCAGCTGAAAACACAAGTTTGGGCCTAACAAAGCGTAATCGACAGGCTTAAAACTGGAATTTAAAAAGGCTTGATTTTGCTAAGGAGGCTACGAAACTACATGGGTTTGAAGTTGAAGCTAACTAAAAAGCCTGAGCTCTATGTTTAATGCAATAAGGGTAGTTTTTATTTTTTTTACAAATTTATTATTTTGAATATTTTATTTAAATTCCCATTGTGACAGCTTTATCGAAAAATATGCATGCCCATTTTTGTCTACCATTATATCACAAAAATAAAATCATCCCACAAAAGTCCTTTTTGTTTTTTCCCATTTTTGAATGGAATTCATTAGGCAGAGACAAATATTTTGCTTGCTTAGGACAAGTCAGGCAAATATTATGAAAAATACTAGAGCCATAAAGAAGCTCTTTATGAAATAAAACCGAAAAAGGGGAAGGAAAGTGATAAACAAGAGAGATATATTTTAATGTGTGCCTGGCTTAAAGCAGGCAAATTTTATTATTCCAGCAGCCACAAAAATAGCTAAACATAAAAAAGGGACTCGAAAACAAGCTCACAGACCAGATGCCAAGATAATAATTCATGGGACAAGGACAAGGACGAGGACAAAGGCTGGCCTCTGGACTTCCAACTATATAGTTTCATCGGAATAAGGGCTGCCCCACAAAGTGAAAATAGCCCTGGGGTAAGCCAAAGTTTCTTAAAGAGCTTTCATTATTTATGTAGCACAGATGAGCTTAGAACCTGGCTAAAATTATGTTTCATGCACGAAAAGCAGCTGACAAAAAGGGGAAATAATTTTGCTTTAGGGTTCGGGTTCTGTGGCAGCCAAACAACCAACTCAAGCACATAAATTGCACCCAAGAGCAATTCACTGAGAAAAAAACTATTAAATGTATGTATTAATGTAATGTATGAAGAAAAGCCAAACTAGTTTTTATAGATAGTATACACAAAGAAAAAACTAACTAAACTAAACTAAATAAACTAACTTTTAAATGTGTGCTCTCAGTACAGGATATTTAAATCATTGCAATTCTGAAACTTAAATGTATTGTTGCCTACTTTTAGACACCTAAAATGATTTTCAACCCCATATACCAAAATCACTGTTTTTCTGTGTGTAGGTATTTTTCGACTTAACTGAAAAGGGTTAAAATATTCCTAAGAATCTTAATTTCATTTGTTTAGTCGCCCTTTTTTGATTCTCAGTGCACAACTCCAGAAAAAGTTGAGCTGCAGTGAATGTGGATAGTTTAGGTCCCGGGCACGGGTACTCACCTCATTAGATGAAGGGCAGCGCCAAAGTCCTCAATCGTTTGCGACTCACTCAAAGCGATGGCGACCTTGTCCACACCGCCCAGAGGTGAAAGGGCATCACGTGCCTTGCTGCCGAAAAGTTTTTCCAGGTAATTGGGTCCGTGCGAGGCGATCAGGCTCTGGAGGAAGGATGCAGTCTCCTCGACCGGCGGCCTCTTGGCTGCAATTAATAAAACAAACAGAGTTTTTATCGGTTGCAATTAAATAAGTTTTCGGGGTGGGTGGTGGTTCTACGTCCCCGCAAAATGTAATTAATAAACTACGAAATGCCCTGATTACTATCAGCTTAATGCATTTGCATTCATAATTTATTCCCATTTAAATTGATTTTGTTCATTAAGCCGACAAACAATTCGGCATCAATATTCCATTGCTGATTAATAAAAGGGAAAAAACATTTTTACTTTCAAGTCATTAAAGTTGAATTCACCCTGTCGACATATTTGTTAAGGTATTAATTATATTTTATACTGCCTGACAATTTCCTAGGCATTAATATTAATAGTCAACTTGCTGCCCTTTGCCCATTTCACATTCAACTTTAAACGCACGCGTGCATATGAAAGGAGTCCTTCCTCTGAAATGAATTATTTAGGGGGCTTACTGCAAAGGGTGGAGCGTCCTGTGAGATTTGATATTTTCGGACAATGCTGAAGCTCTTTAAATATTTAAATAGCAATAAAAAATCCGATTTACGTAAAACGCTACAAAAAGTGGGAAACTTTTTCAAAAGTTGACCATAGTTTTTGTTCAGATTCAGACTTTGTTGTTCTACTTTGTTTGGTGTAGTTTAAATGGAAAAGGCAATGTCAGTATAAATATGTGAACTGAAACCATTTGTATTAATTTCAAATTTAATTAAAAAGATTTCGGAGAATAAAAAGGTCACTGATTTTGCTGACAGTAAATTTATTTCAAAAACAAACAAAACGGATACAAAAAAGTTGAAACAGTTAGGCAGGGATTAAATCAAAAAACTGAATGAATTAAAACAATGGGAAATGTATTTTTAACATATTCAAAAAGAACATCTAATTAATAAAAGAGATTTTGTAATGTTATCAAAAGTCAATTTTGTAAGCATTAACATAGTGAACATGAATGAAATTCTGCAGTATAATTTAAATACTTTTCCTTTTTGCTAGAATTTAAGCTTTTATTTTGCGTTTCTCGAATAAAACCCATTCTGGGTTTTTCTTTCACATCGAGGCACTTGCTCAGCATAAAGGAATATATATTTTTCATTTCGTTTTCATGCTCCCGTTGAATAAGGTTTTCCCATTTATTCACATTTCTTCCCTTGCGCCATTTTCCTTTGTGTTTATTTGTGTTTTCTTTGGCTCCAGCAAACATTTATGGGTCAGTCAGAAAGTCAGTGAGTAAGTCAGTCAGTCATTCAGTCAGTCATTCATTCATTCAGGTAGTCAGTCACCCAGTCCGCAGAGTCAGTCATGCACAAAGGGCAGACTTTACGGCGCTCGGCGTCGCTTTTTTAACCCACTGACTGCACTTGTTAACCCACGGGTGCACAGTCCTTCCCTTAACCCGCTCACTCACATATGCTGGCATTTTTAATGGCTGCAAGGACATGTTTGTATCTAGATGGGTCTCGTTTCCCTCGATGTGTGTGTGTTGATACAGTCACTGACTGTATTTGTTATGCAAATGGCGACGTTTGCCAACCATTTTCCCCTCTCCATTTCTTGCACATTTCATACCCTTTACTTATGGGGTGACTGTACGTTTTTTGTTTTATTGTCATCAAGATTAATGTGCGCAATTAGCTTCATATGGGGTCCCTAATGAAAAAAACCCCTTTTCCAAGCTTTTACATTTAATTATAACTGAAAGAGAACTGACTTCGTGACGCTTTTTTAAAAATTAACTTCACTTTATTAAGTGCTGTTTTTTTAAATCCTCAGTACATCCTAGAAAACTTAAGAGCTTAAGAGTACTAATAGAATAGGCTCTAAATTTCAGAATTCGTCTTTACTTGTTCAAGAAGAAACGTCCTTAGAATCAAGACGAAATAGTTTTTGATATTGTTTTTCGGGATGAAGCAGTTTTAAAATATGCTCATTCGTAATACTTCGGATTGGAAAGGTTTAGCTATACTATTGAGCTCAAGAGAGCGGGATTGGAAACACATTGTAGCAATTGCAAATTTATAGTTCAAGAATTAAAAGAACAAAAAAATCTTAATAATTTTTAATAAATAATAAAATGAACGTAAGCATTAAATACAGCATTCCTTACGCATTAAATTAGTTCAGTTTCATTTCTATATAAGATATAAGGTACATCTTTGGTTTGGTAAAAATCAAAACCTCCCAATAAAATGTTTGGGTATGTCCTTATCGAGGCTGCTGAAAAACCTGTTTCTTTACTTTTCCGTTGAGTCGGCTACATGTGCTTCGGTGCCTCCGTACATTGTATTTTTTGCTCAGGGGACCAAACTCAATTGGTGGGTGGGGAAGGATGGAAATGGGTGGCTGTGGGAGTTGCGATTGTCGCCTGTTGTTTGCCTTTAACTTGTTACATATTCCGGACGATGTATATCAGCAGTTTAGATAAGGTCTACGTGGCCATGCTGGCCCAGTATTCCCTGCCAACATGGGTTAACATTTTTTAAACTTTATCCGCTGCCTTTGGCTGATAAAATGTATGCAAAATTATGCTAATTTCCCAAGGGTATTCGAATGCAGAGTGTTAAAAGTTTTTCGAATACTTTTTATAGCAATTTAACTCGGTACTTTTTTATATATTTCCCTTTTTGCCAGTCAATGATGATTCGGAATAAGAACATGAGTAACTTTAATAATATATTTTTCTTAATTTGCATACATTAAAATGCATATTACGAAAAAGGAGAATATAAATTGCTCGTATGAAAAAGAGTTTGTTCAGAGCAAAAAGCGAACTTTTCTTTTAATTTAAAAGTTCTTATGTGTTACATTTTAGGAGTTTACTTTTATCTGTGGACCTATTAGTATCGAGTCTTTAATTAACTTCGTTTTACTAGTCAGAAAGATGATTTCTTTCAATATATTCTTCTGAAGGATAAAGGGTTCCTTTACCCTGAGAAGTTCGACTCCAAGCACTTCTAATTAAAGAAGTGATGGTCTAAGCAAAAACTTCCCCTAAAGCTTCGTTTTGTCTTTCAACTGTTGCCTAGCTGCCAAATAAAGAGGAGTTGCCGGGTGAAAGTGGAGAAAGTGAGGATAATAACGGGAAACTGGGGGAATAATTTATCAAAGACCGCCGAGGTTGAAGCAATAACTTAGGGCAGCGCCAAAGCAGCCGACACTTCCTAAATGATTTCATTGTCGAAAAATAGTTTTTTTTGGTATCCAACCACCCGAACAATGGTGGAAAAGCAGGGAAAATTTATGCTATTGTGCCTGGAACTGGCGGAGAATAAGATAAAGGGAAAGGAAAATGGGGGAGGTAAATGGGGGTGGGCGAAATTGGTTGGGTGGTGGTCTGTTGGCTTGTATCTCAACTTTCAGGCAACTGAATTGCTGGCAATTAGCAGCAACAATTTGCTGTTTGGCCTCAAGTTTCGCATTTCCCATTTTCGGTTGGCTCAGCGGGTGGAAATCTCTCCTCGGCCGTAAAGTAAACTTTTCCGCCCAATTTGTGCGGCCTTTGTTTGCCTGTGTCTGTGTGTCTGGGTAACGAATTTTATAATTTATCACGCGAATTTTCCCATCCATGACATAATTAGAAAAACTATAAAAACTTTCACCGCCATTACTCCTCCTTTCTTTTTTATTCTTTTTAATTCACTCTATGTATATGTAAAGCATCCTATATCGATTATGAAAATACAATTAATTTTTTTCTTTTAATTGCTTTTCAATTTGAGGCAATTACTTTGGTGATTGCAATCAATTTCCCGTGCCGTTCGTGGCCAAAAAGAAAAGGGCAAATGTAATTGATACGGCATAGAAAACGAAATGTATTTAATTAGCAAGAGCATGAGTCATTCTGTAAATATGCTTTTCAAATGGAAAATTGTATATTCTATTTGGTGCGTAAGGCGAAAAATAAAAAAAATTAACTTAAGAAATGACCAATACAAATGTTCAAAAGTTAAGCTGGTCGGAACCAAACCGTAAGTTTATTAAAGGAAACTTTTAGTAAGGCTATTAAATTTTTAAAACCTAATAACAAAGCCTTATCCATTCAATAAATCTTAGTTCTTGGCCATAACATTAGTTGATTTGCGCTTTACTACTTCTTAAAAACCAAGCGTTTAAATAAATCACCCTTTACCACATCAAGCCAAAACTATTATTATACAACATTATTCATATTTAAAAACCGCTTGAAACTCATAAATCACGAAACTTAAACCAGATTTGTGGGACAAGCTTCGTTAGCCATTTTGACGAGAAGCTCATTTCCCTTGCACTTGAAACTTGGCCCAAAAAACCTAAGTTGATGGACAACGAACAAGCGGATAAAGTTTTAGAGATTTTCTACAAAAACTTTGCTGCAACTTGGACTAATTTGATTAGGTGCCAGTGAGAAGCAAGCGCCACAAAATATGGTAGAATGCAACACGGCCAAGACAAAGTTTTCGTCTTGCTTTTGGCTAGAACAAAATTCATTTCTGGCCAAGAGACTTCTTTGCAGTATGTTTCAATTTGGGCTGCTCATTTCCTATCATTTTCATTTTAAGCTTATTTAGGCAGAGTTCCTTCTTGGGAAATTCTCTTTTTCCAGCCGAGGCTTAAATGAAGCCTGCTAAAGCGAATTATTAATGGCCAGACGTAGTGCATTCAATTAGGGCACGAGTTCAAATGGCAATCTCATGACTTACCAGCCGTACACAGACGCATATCCTCATCATATCCGTCAGAGCAATCGGGTGCACCATCGCATAAATATTGGATGGAAATGCAATTACCATCTCCGGGACACTTGAAGGGCTCGTAGGGATGACAGGCTTCTGCAAATGGAAAATGAAAAAAAATACGTTTGTCATATGGGGAATTTGTAAAATGTTGTAAAAATACGTTATGTCAAGAGCTTAAAGCTATGGAAAATATTTGTGAATTTAACAAGTAACCAAATACACAATCACACTGCTCATATTTACATTGTGTAAGCGGATTTGCTTACCAACGATTTAATACATTTATTTATTTATTCTCCTTGTTTATTTTCTGCAATGATTTAGCAGGATTTGGTCAGTTCAACGGAATCTATTAAATTTGTTTTATTTATTTGCCAAGATTGCTGTTCATTGAATTATTGTTAAACTTTGTAAAAAACTAACCACAAGCTGTTTATTATTTAATTAAAAATTCTATAATTGGTTTATCTAATATAAATTGTATATTTTTATAAAATAGATTTTTAATTTGGATAACTGAATTCAAAAACAAACTACACAAATTAAGTTATTTTTATAATGAGATGTATTTATTTGCCAAACCCATTGGTTTTTTATCTTGCTATTGTGAATATGTGTATTAAAGCTTGTCAATCGTTGATTAAATAACTGCTTAATAAAAAACTACATATTTGTGCTATAGAGTTAAACAAATCTTAATCATCTATATTATAAGCTATGATTGTTTGCCTACACTAGCATTTTAATTAGTAAAATACAGAATGAAATTATTTTTTTCTCTTTTCCGGTTAATGCATAAGTAAGTGAGGACTACATTTGGATGTTAACAAAAAGTATTCAATTTAATTGATAAACAAACAATGGGCTAAAACCAAACGACAAGAAAAAATAATAAAAATATCACGAAAATGTTATCTGACAATTAAGCAAATTAATTTGCTTTCATGTTGTTTATTGTTTACATTTTCCCTCGCAATATTTTCTCTGTTCATAAAAAGGCGTTAAGGAAGCTTTCAGTTTTATGGGGGGGTGCAAAAGAATGAAAAGGATAAGAACGGGATGATGTTTCCCCATCAAACCCCCCCCCCAAAAAAAACACAGAATAAAGAGGGGAGCAAGTTAATTGAATTTATTGTTTCTGCTTGTGCCAAAACTCAACATATTTCATACAATTTATATTATTTTTTGTGAAGCAGGCTTATTTTTGTATCCATCTCTGCTTCGGCCGAGGCAAATTGGTTTTAATAGGCTCTGCACGTGGGAGCGCAGCAGCTTTTTGGAAAAACAATTTTCATTTTCCAACGCCATTTCCCACGACTCGCAGTTGTGGCCTAAATCCCTGCCGCAAACAAAAACGTTGGCTCTTTGGCATTTATTTTATGGCTGCCACAAATAAGTTAAGCATTCAAAAATATCAAATCTCTTTTGGCTGAGCACAAAGTTTAATTCAATTCTCAGCCAAAGGAAATTTTCTTCCCGACAAACTTCTGTCCTGACACTTGACATATTTTTCTATTAAAGTTTGGACGGAGTTTTGGTACTTCCTTTTTGTTTTTTTCGCCTACTTTCTTTTCTGTTTATTTTTTGTTGTGAAGCTTTTGAGGAAAACCAGCAAAAAAGGAACTCGAAAATGTTGTTAGTAAGTTGAAAAAGATTGAAGAAAAATGTGGTTTAGGTATGAGTTTTATTAAAGCCCTAATCCTGTCACCTTGGCCACCGAAAAGGTGAAAGAACTCAGCGTGCATTACACATACGCACCGTGGGCACGCGCGAGACAAGTTAATTTCGTGTGATTCATTATGTTTCGGTTAGTGTCAAAACAATTGGAATTTATGTGCTCGGCAACACTAATTGACAGGCCGAGGGATCCAATAAGTCTCCGTCCCAAGCTCCTCACAAAATCCCCGAAAATCAGTTCGCAGCTTATATTTTGGTGCGAAAAGTGTTTCGGTTTATTGTGCGTGTTGTGTGGGGCTCAGATTGAAAGGTCAAATGAGCCAAAGGGTTGGCCAGACCTTTAGCCGGTTTCTCGTCTGCGGGTTTTTTCCCTTTTTCGCTTCAAAAGATTCCTTAACACTCGCACTTAAAGTTGGCTTTTATGTGGCATAAAAAGGACAACTTTTGTACTTTGTTGTGGCATTGAAAGCGTTTGTTTTCCCCTTTATTTTGCTGTCGGTTTAAGTTTCCTCCCGTTTTCCTTCTCGTTTTATACGGCAATTGATTACCATTTGAATACTTTATTATTTTTAATGCCCTTTCGGTTTACGATTATACGTGATTGGTTGCCGGCGAAAGGATTGGCGATCCGAACTTTTTGTGGAAATGCTTCTGGAATTATTTATTCAATTTGCGAATGGAATTGAATTTTACTACTTTTTGAAAGGGAAACTCCTATGTCTTTCTTTGTTACAAAAATTTTGGGACTTTGCCGTACTGGGTAAATGCTTTAAAGACTGTTTATTATTCGGGTTAAGTTGTATAATAATTTAAGCGGATTTAGTAAAACTCTTAATTGAAAAGCATTGTTTCGAAATGGTGTAAATGGTAAATTGTGAATAATGGTGTTCCTAAAAAAATATTTGTAAAATGTTTTTTTCTGTGTAGGTAAGAACTAAGGTGATGTAATTTTTAGAAATTTATCTAAAAGCCCTATTAAAATTCTTGTTATCCAGTTTTAAAGAATCTAATAGCAAAAGTATCAAAACATTTGTTTCTCCTGGATCTTTTTTTTCAAATATATCACTTTTTTTTGTTTGACTGCCGCGTTGCTACCCAAGTGGCAGTTTAATCTAATCCGTCTATGACCCTGGATCAAAGTGCACTAAAAAGTATCAATGTGTGACCCCAATAAGTATGCAACAAAATGTTTTATGGTGCTTTTAAACAGGCTTTGCACATATTTAAATTCACCGGCCGTGTTCATAAAAGCACCCACCAGAGGACCACAATATTGGCTGTGGCTTTCACAGATATTAATTTTGAAAAACCAAGGTGGTGGGAAAACATCTCTGTCGTGTGCTGCACACATAATGAATGTTGCATAAATGTCATAAATATGAAGTCAACACGCAGAACTCTGCTCCCCATGGGTCTCGGTCTCGACATTTCTGGTTTTCCTTCTCTTGCCAAAAAAAGTAGGAAAAATAATAAGTGTATACATGGCCAACCAGAGTTAAATGAAGCGTTAAGCTTCTGGCCACACACACAATGTTGCTTCCGCCTGACAATGTCCGAAAGCCAAAATCCAGAATCCTGAAACTCGTATACCATTTTGCTAAGCGCTGCACGTGACACCAGGAAATATTCTTAAACTTGCCTTTGTTGCTGTCCCCTTATGGAATAATCTCAACTCTCCGGCACTGTGGCCGTAAAAGAGTGTAATAACACTATGCAACAAAATTGGCAGTCGCCGGTGCAGAGCTTGTATTTTATGTGAAACTTTGGCTCAACTACGACTGATAAGCTGACTTTTAAAGACACTTTATTAATTTATAGAGACCATGAAAAATAGAGCGGCATAATAACGCCGTATTTATTTTGAAACTTTATTTACTCACCCATTTCTGGATAGAAATTGGACAGAAATTGTTGTTTAATTTAAAACGTATTAAAAAAAATACTGGTACTATAAAAACTTTATATTTTATTTATTGTTTTTGTATTTATTTACTCGGTTGTCAAAACTTAAATCAGAATAAATTCATTCCATGCTAAAAAATAGAATAAATTGAGCTATTGTTATTATTATTTTTGAGTTTAAAACATTACAAATACTGGTGCTATTCAGTAATAATATTTATTTCATCATTGAAATTATTTATCTAGAAGAATCCTTTTTTATCTTTTTAAGAAGGCGCGAGGGCAGCCAATATCATTTACATTTATTTTATTAGAAAAATACTCTAGAACAATATTGTGCTAAACCAATATTTAATAACTACAAAATTAAAATATTTTATAAATTCTTATTTCAAATTTTTTTTAGGAAGCTGATATTCTCTTAATAATATATTTTTTAACAAAAGGTAAAAAATGTCACCTAGTGTAATTCTTTTCCATAGTCAGCCTGCCAGTTAACAGAATTTTAGTTTTCATGTGACAATTTGCGAAGCACCAAAAGCAGCAGCACCAGGCGGCGTTGTCACGCATGGCGTATGCGCAATGTTACACAGTTATTGCTCTTGGCCCGGTTTGTTGTATCAGCTGCTCCTGTATATCCGAGATATAGCCACTATAGCCCATCCGCCTGCCAATTGCAGTTTACCTGACCCACGCAATTGCCTGGGCGTGTCCCATTTAAGGGGTGGCTTCTCCTTATGGCCGATGGGCAATATCTGTCCAAACAGATGGGTAGTTGGCAGTTGGGGGTTTCGGGGGTTAAGTGGCAACTTCAGACTAAGTTTCGGCAAGCCTTCGATTCCACTGACAGCTGCCCAGCTTATGAACGGCCAAGACACAAAGTTGGTACAGTTATGGCCAAGAGCCAACTTTAATGGGAAGGGGAAAGTTCTGACGAGGTTTGCGGTTGGCTTTAATTGGAGGTAGCCTTTCTTGGGAACCATTAGAGTGTATACTGTACTTGCGAGAGTTATTTAATTGTGCGTGAAAATGCCAAGGTTCCTTTATGCACTGCCTTAAAGAGTTGCCATTTTGATTTAAATATATCTTTTGATTCAAGATTACATTTGATTATTACAAATAGCAAATAATAATATAATAATATTGTTATAATTTTATTATCATTATTATCTACAACACAAATACATTGGTCTAAGAGTTCTTAATTATCAGAATGTTTTCCTTAAATTTCCAAAATTTATCTGAATTAGATATAATTCCAATAAATTTAATAAAATATAACAACTTTTACTCAACACTCTCACAGAATATTTTTCTAAAAAATATGAAACTTTTATTCATTGTATTATAACATTGTTTATTTTAAATGTATATTATTTAAATTACAATTTGAAACTCAGGTAACTTACAAAATTTTAATCAATGATTAAAGCGAAATGCCAAATGAAAGTTGCATATTTCAAATACAAAAAATCTCTGGAAATGCCATTAAACTAGAAATTGGAACACAAATG